ATTAATGGGTCACTATTGAATCGAAGAAAAAAAGAGAGCTAATGTTAAAGAAATAGCATAATTTCTTTGACAAACTTTTTAGTCCTTCCTCTGTGGTGCCCATTGGAGGCAAATCTCAGCCATGGTTTGGTCGCTCCTGTAAAATAGCATCATGCTATAAGCAGGAGTGCTACCAGGCCTGGGCTGACGCATCAGCGTCCAGGGATGTAAACACCAGCGCTCTAAAAAAAGAAGTATAATTCCGCCTCTAGGTCCTTCAAAAGAGTCATTGCCAAGGCAAAGTCAGAGCACATAAGCAGAATTGGCGAGAAACTAGTTCGTCTTACTTCTGGAACTCATGCATTCTGGTCTCTCGCCAAGGTTGTCCAGGGGAATTTCTGTCAGCCATCTCTTCCATCTCTGCACAGGGAGGACGACTCACTGGCCCACACCGCAAAGGTGAAAGCCGATCTTCTAGGCTCTTTCTTTGCGTCTAACTCGACTCTCGATGACGGGGGGAATACGCCGCCGACCATCCCGCGGTGTGAGTGCTCCATGCCGGAAGTGCAGTTCACTCAGCGCTCGGTTCGCAAAGCACTCCTCTCCCTAGACATCCACAAGTCGAGTGGGCCTGACAGAATCCCCCCAATTGTGCTGAGGACGTGTGCTCCAGAGTTGGCACCGGTTTTAACGCGTTTTTTCCGGTACTCCTACTCCCTAGGCGTAGTCCCAAAATCATGGAAGACGGCTTTCGTCCACCCGATCCCTAAAAAAAGGCGACCGCTCAGATCCGTCCAACTACCGGCCTATCGCCATCACCTCCTTGTTCTCCAAAACAATGGAGTCCATTGTAAACTGCCAGCTCATGAGGTACCTTGAGGATCACCAGCTGATTAGTGACCGCCAATACGGTTTTCGCCGTGGTCGGTCAGCTGGTGATCTTCTGGTCTACCTAACTCACAGATGGGCGGAGGCAGTAGAGTCCAAGGGGGAGGCATTGGCCGTTAGTTTGGACATTGCGAAGGCCTTCGATCGGGTTTGGACAAAGCGCTTCTTTCGAAGCTCCCCTTCCTATGGGCTTCCCGAGAAATTGTGCGATTGGATCACCAGTTTTCTTGCAGATCGGAGCATCAAGGTCGTTGTAGACGGTGCAAGCTCCGATTGCAAGCCTATTAATGCTGGTGTTCCACAGGGCTGCGTGCTATCGCCAACGCTGTTTCTTCTGCATATCAATGATATGTTGCAGACCCGTAACATTCATTGCTATGCAGATGACAGCAGTGGTGATGCTCTTTACACCGGCCGAGCCAATATTTCTCGGGAAAACGTCTCCGAGTGCCGGGACAAACTTGTGTCTGAAGTCGAGTCTCTGCTGGACAGAGTCTCGGATTGGGGGCGACTAAATCTAGTCCAGTTTAACCCCCAGAAGACACAAGTTTGCGCGTTAACCGCTAAAAAGAACCCCTTTGTCGTATCCCCTCAGTTTCAAGGCACTCCCCTTGTCGCCTCAGCCAGTATCGGAATCCTCGGCGTCGACATATCGAGTGACGTGCAGTTTCGTGGTCACTTGGAGGGGAAGGCCAAATTGGCCTCTAAAAAGCTTGGCGTGCTCAGCAGAGCGGGACAGTATTTCATGCCGGCACACCGCCTGCAACTTTACAAGGCGCAGGTTCGGCCACACATGGAATACTATTCCCATCTCTGGGCTGGGGCTCCCCAGTACCAGCTCCTTCCACTTGACCACATCCAGCGCAGAGCGGCTCGAATCGTCGACGACCGAGTGCTTTCCGATCGGCTCGATTCTCTGGCACTGCGAAGAGATGTTGCATCCCTTTGCATTTTCTTTCGCATATACCTGGGGAGTGCTCTGAGGAATTGTTCGGATTAATCCCAGCCGCCAAATTTCGTGAACGCACTACGCGGCAAACGTCCCGATACCATCCACACCATCTGGATGCTTGGCGTTCCACCACTGTACGTTTCAAAAGGAGTTTTCTTCCGCGTACAACCTCTCTGTGGAATAATTTACCACCGGCGATTTTTCCGGACCGATACGACCTGGGGACCTTCAAGAAAAGAGCTTACTCCTTTCTAAAGGGCCGGCAACGCATCTGCAATTCCCCTGGTGTTGCGATTGATCATGGGCGGCGGTAGTCACTTAACATCAGATGAGCCGCATGCTCGTTTGCCCCCTCTTCTATATAAAAAAAAAAATCTGCGAGAGTGCCGTGAAGCAGAGGCGAGCAGTAAGGCTTAGAGCCGTGCCGAACACTGTATAGCGCAGAGAGTAGCTTGAAGGAGCAGGAAGCACTATTATTCCAGTGCTGCGATGAACCTTGTGAAGCTAGATGGCTTGCAGGATATGAAGACTGCAGTTTATATCTACTCGGGAGCGAATGGGTGGGGTATTCTATGACGATGATGAAGCTTGAAGTTTCCGAAGGTTGTTTGGTTGCGTGTTCAGATCATGTCGGGGTCACCACTGTGGCCGTAGAAGAAAAAGGGGAGATCTCCCGCCGGGCAAGGTGATCTGCCCGAGGAGCGGCCAACACTCCAAGTAATAGTTCGGAGAAGTTCTATATATATTGTCTATGATTCGGAATGTTGATAGAGTGATTTAAGCTTCGATGTATTTCGCTTGTATCTGCAAAAATTGTTTACTGTATGGTGTGATTGGGCAATTTCGTGTGTTTGAGTAGCAGTGTGCAGTTGTAGAGTAGATAAGTGTGTGAGTGTGTATTGTCGAATCGTATATACTCAGTGTGTATGACGGCACGTGAATTTGTGTGACTGTGAATAAGACAAGTGTTATATCGGCATAGCAATATTTCAACAACGCCTTTTTGTATTAAGTTCGTGATATGATTGAAGGACTAATAATTAGTTAGATGTGGTCCATAATCGTGCAAAAGCTTATTTTCAGTTTTAATTAGTTTTATTTAAACAAATAGTTAATCCAAATTATACATAAAGCTCGCCGTAAGATTTCGTAGGAATGAAAAGTGTACGATTCCTGCGAGGATAAATGAAACTGCTAAGAAAAAATTATTTGGGTTTTCCACTTCTCAGTGGAGTAGTGAAGATTAACTTTGCGGGGAAACCTTGATGACTAAGCCGATTTAAAAAAAAATTGTGGACATGTGAAAACCGCTATTTCGCATTTTGTAATTAGGAGCCTTGTGCACAGTTATAAAACGTATGTAAGTTTATTTTTTACTTTTTACTTTTAACGAGACTTGTAAAACTGTTTGTCGTATATTAAGATAGCTTTCATATTTTCAGATATATTAAGATTATTGGGACAGTCCCGGTTTCATAACTCATATAAGTAAATGAACGGTACGGAAAAAGGTATTATAAATATCAACGACAACGAATTTTAAGCACATCTTTATTTTTATTTTAACTATGAAGGAACTGCACTAATGATCTTTATACTCATTTGGCGTATGAACACACGTAAATTTATACTATTTTCTTAAGCAACCCAAATTCGATCCGCACCGACACCCCTTATATTTTAATTGCAATTTGAAGTGTCAATTTTCCATGTTCTCAGTGGGGAAGGAAAACATCGCGAGGAAACCTGCATATCTGAGAAGTTAAAAAAACCGAAATTTATTTTTTTGGTATATGTGAAGTCGTTCATTCTATGTTGGAGTCAACTCAATCACTCTTTTTTGCCCTAAAACTCGCAGGAGTGGGATGTATCAAGGCTTTTTTTTCTTTTCTTCACTACTCCACTGAGAAGTGGAAAACTTTTTACTTTTAATATTGCTATCTTAACCCATTGTTCGTCAAATAGGCCGGATATTTACAGTAGTAGCCACGCTTGACGAGCGGATTGGCGACTGCAGCTCTTTTTACTTTGCAATGTTATCAGAAAGATGCTGCCCCCAACTCCTGTTTCAGTTTCTATCTGTAGCCTTTTAGACCAGCCGCGAGACGAAATTGGGTATTGACTTCTTTTTCGACGCTACATGGTACAATGTATTTTTACACCCGTTCAGCAATTCGATTTTGCCCATAAATCGCCAAATGAGTTGAATATTTGTTGTATTTGGCACGTTTGGCAGGCGGGTTGCCAACTGATTATTTTGAGCTGTAATCAGAAAGGGGTTGCTTCCCATTTTATGTATATTTCTAATCCCGTTCATGAATATAGTTCTTCTCACACGTGTAATGTATATAGAACTACATTTATAAAATTTCAGTTTATTCGAACGTAAAAAATAACGGCATCTACTTTATGGTGCCAATAAATATTCAAAGGGGTGATTTGATTCGAATATCGGAAATAAACACTATGCCGGATATTATCAAAGGACTATTAAATTCAACATTATTTTGTAAAACTATATTAACTTTAATTATAAATAAATGTGAATAACGCACCAGGACAATTTACCCTTCACAAAAAAACGTCGGAAGACATGCCAGATATAAAAAAAAAGTTGTTGCACATATACTGAGGTGACTCTAAAAGAGATCCAATTTTGCAAAATTTGGTGATGTTTGTAAATTGCAGCAAACGCGAGCGAAGCCCGGGGGTAAAAATCTAGTCAATAGTATAAAAAATATTTTTTGTTTGTTCATATTTTATGCGCTGGCATACTGTTCATTAGATTGCAGTAAGACTTTGTCAACTTATTGCTTACACTTGCGCGAAAGTTGTAGGCATAGTACAATTACTTTACAGTGGGTGACGGGCGTATCGTTTCGACAAATTTATTTAAAAGTTATATATCATCGTTCCTTTTCAGTAAATGTATTATTTTATTATTATTATTGTATTATATATATTATTTTGTTACTGTATTAATTTATTATTCATAATTGCTCTTCCAAATTTAAAATTATATCTCCATATTTTTTTTGCGGCTGCAACGTGCCAGGTACCAGATTATAAGATTTGATAAATAATAATTATAACTCCTAAAATATATTAGTTATGTTTGTAAGTTATAAATTTTAACTAATTTAAAAAATGGTCTCTTCTTTTCAGGTAAGCTTTATCAACAATGAATGTAAGTTCAAGTAACATCTAAGACTTCTTTTGATTTTATATGTAATGTTTTCTTTTAATTTAGCTAGCCCTGCTGGACTACGAATGCCTAAAAGTCACGCTTGGTCGGCACAAATTTCCGCATATGAATATATCCGCTTACACTTTATTGGTGCGAGGAATTTATTGATACGCTTTTGATGATGGAATGAATCTCTGTGAAAATTTACACAAGTTTATATTTAAAACTTTTAAAAATCCTCAGTAAGTAATAGAAAAAAAATAGAAAAAAAAATGTATTGTATAATATTTAGGCTTACAACCATGTGCAGCTAATACACTGCGTCATTCTTCGAGAGTGTGCTCCGTTAATTATGTTTCGCTATAGCATATTCTTAATTTGCCGCAAGAGATAAATTTTTAATCATCATCATCATCATCATTACAGCCCTTCACAAGTCCACTGCTGAACATAGGCCTCCCCCAAGTAATGCCACAAAGCACGGTCCTGAGCCACCTGCATCCATCGACTTCCTGCATATCTTACCAGGTCGTCACTCCATCTAGTGGGGGGTCGCCCTACATTACGCCTACCGGTACGAGGCTGCCACTCGAGAACCTTTCTTCCCCATCGGTTATCGGTTCTTCGAGCTATAATAATAATAATAATAATAAATCTTTATTGATCAACTAAAAATTTTTACAATGATCTTGAGATTGTGGAAATCTTCTTTTAAGTGTAAAAACACTTCAGCTTACTAATCCGTTGGACTATGTCGGTCACTCTGGTTTTACTGCGGATATCCTCATTTCTGAGTCTATCACGCAGAGAAACTCCGAGCATAGCTCTCTCCATAGCTCGCTGAGCGACCTTGAGCGTTTTATCTATTAATTTTTTATAAATTTTTAATCGGCAGTCATAAAATACCTAAAACGTTAAAAGAAAAAAATAGATTTAATTTAATTTATGAGTTATTAAATGAAGTTATGAACGGAACGTAATTTCAATAGATAAATATGTACTTACCTGTTTTTACGTAGGTGCCTATAAGCAACATCTAAGTTGTGGAAAAATTGTGGCAGCTTAAACTTTTTTTATGGAATAATGGTGACAAACGAGCACACATACTTGCCATTAGGTGCAATGATGGCAAGTTGATGCTGAGGCCCATAGATATCTATAATTATCCTTGATTAAGAATCAAAATACACATGCGTGGTCGTCTTTGAGAAGTAAGATATAATTATTTTGAAAGTGTCCTACTCTTTTAAACTTATCCATTCGTGCCAACACCATAATATAGCTACAGCTTGGCGCCATCACATTTAGAACGTAATTTTTACCTTTTGATATTTTACATTATTGAAAATGATAAAAAAATAAGTGAACGAAATGGTTTATAAAATATTCAATAACTAAATTTCAATTAAAAATATTCATCGAATGTATATTTATAAATTGTTTATGAAAATTGTATTTCCATTATACACAAGATAGGCATATAGTAATCAAAAAGAGAGAGCTCGGACTACAGTATGATTTTTATGACACGTTATTGGGGTAGGAAATTATTGCGTAAGTATTTATTGTACTCTTCTTAAACGGCTTATATATATATATAGTTCATCCTGTGGGTCCCGTAAAAGTATATATATATATATATATATATATACTCTTACGGGACCCACAGGATAAAATAAATAAAGGATTATCATACACCGCTACCAACCTCAACTGCTGCTGCTACCTCCTTTTGAGCTTGAAAACCATAAGGTTGAGCCTCTTACGAGACCTACAGGTTGAAATAGGGCGGTAGATAATCATACGCCACTACCGCTACCGCTAATGCTACCGCTGCCACTACTGCTTCTACTACAGCTACCCTTACAGCTTCCACTACAGCTACCGTGATCGCGACATCCACCGTTACCATGAATTGAACATGAATTCATGAGATAAAGCCTCTTACGAGACTTCCAGTATGAAATAGGGTGATAAATTATCGTACACTGCTACGGCTGCCGCTGATGTTATCGCAACTGCTGCCGCTATCGCTATCGCTAACACGATCATATATTAAGCTGAAAAATCATAAAGATTGAGCCTTTTACGAGACCCACAGGACGAAATAAGATAAAGGATTATATCATACACCGCTACTACTAGAGCCACCGCTACCACTACCGCTTCTGCTACCATCTTTCGAGATTGAAAACCATAAGGTTGAGCCTCTTAGGAGACATACAGGATGAAATGGGGCAGTATATTATCATACACTGCTACCGATACTGCTATCGCTACCGCTACCGCTACTGCTACCGCTACTGCTACCACTACCGCTACTGCCACCGCTACTGCTACTGCTACCGCTACTGCTACTGATACCGCTACTGCTTTCACTACAGCTACCTTAACAGCTTTCACTATAGCTACCGCGACCAAGACAACTACCGTTCCCATGAATTGAGTTTGAAATTCATGAGATAAAGCCTGTTAAGAGACTTCCAGCATGAAATAGGGTGATGAATTATCATACACTGCTACAGCTACCGCTAATGCTATCGCAACTGCTGCTGCTATCGCTACCGCTAACACAATCTTATATTAAGCTGGAAAACCATAAGAACGAGCCTTTTACGAGACTCACAGGCCGAAATAATTTAAAGGATTATCATACACCTCTACTGCTACCGCCACCACTACCGCGACTGCTACAGTTATCGCTGCAGATACAGCTACCGCTACCACAACCACTGCAGCTATCATCTTTTGAGCTTGAAATGCATAAGATTGAGCCTCTTATGAGACCCACAGGATGAAGTGTTTTGATAGATTATCATACACCGCTACCGCTACAGCTACCGCTACAGCTACTGATACCGCTACTGTTACCACTACTGCTACTGCCACCGCTACCGCTATTGCTACCACTACCGCTACTGCTACTGCTATCGCTATTGCTTTCACTATAGCCACCACGACCGCGACAACTACCGTTCCCATGAATTATGCTTGAAATCCATGAGATAAAGCCTCATACGAGTCTTCCAATATGAAATAGGGTGATGAATTATCATACACTGCTTTAGCTACAGCCATTGCTACCGCGACTGCTACAGTTATCGCTGCAGATATAGCTACCACTACCACAACCACTGCAGCTATCATCTTTCGAGCTTGAAATGCATAAGATTGAGCCTCTTATGAGACCCACAGGATGAATTGTTTTGATAGATTATCATACACCGTTACCACTACAGCTACCGCTACAGCTACCGATAGAGTACCGCTACAGCTACCGCTACAGCTACCGCTACAGCTACCGCTACAGCTACCGCTACAGCTACAGCTACCGCTACAGCTACAGCTATCTCTACAGCTACCGCTACAGCTACCGCTACAGCTAACGATACAGCTACCGCTACAGCTACCGCTACAGCTACCCCAGCTGCTACAGCTACCGCTACAGCTACCGCTACAGCTACCGCCACAGCTACCGCTACTGCTACCGCTACAGCTACCGCTACAGCTACCGCTACAGCTACCGCTACAGCTACAGCTACCGCTACCGCTACAGCTACCGCTACAGCTATCGCTATCGCTGCCGCTACCACTGCTACTACAGCTACATTTACAGCTTCCACTAAAGCTATCACTACCACTGCCGTGACGGCAACAACTACTGTATTGAGCTTAAAATCCATGAGATTAAAATTCTTACGATACTTGCAGTATGAAATGGGGTTGTGAATTATCGTAGACAGCTCCTGCTATCGCTGATGCCATCGCCTGCTGTTGCTGCCGCTGCCGCTACCGCTATCGCTAATATGACTATATATTAGTGGAAAACCATGAGAAGCCTTTTACGAGATCCACAGGATAAAATAAGTTAAAGAATATTCATCCACCGTTACCGCAACCGGTACCGCTACAGGTACAGCTACCGCTACCTCAACCACTACCGCTACCATCTTTCAAGCTTTAAATGCATAAGATTGAGCCTCTTACGAGACCCACAGTATGAAGTGGGGTGACAGATTATTATACACCGCTACCGCTACAACCACCGCTACCGCTACAGCCACCGCTACAGCTAACGCTACTGCTGCCGCTACCGCTGCCACTACAGATACCTTTACAGCTTCCACTACAGCTACCGCTACCGCGATATTTACCGTTAAACAAACAAACACTAATGATTAAACATTAAATTATGTTACGCAATACCTTTGTCAGTCGTGAACGGAATTTGATGATTCTTCTTATGAAATATTTCAGGGGTGGTGGTTTTGTTAAGAAACTTCCACCTCTAAGTAACTACTAGGATGATGTTCCAGTCCACGTAACTAAAGGTAAAAACAACTTTTAATAAAAAGTAAATATCACCTGCTAAAAGAAAAATGATGAAATAATTTAATCAAAGTTTTAATTATTCTATACATTATGCCTTGGCAGCGACTTTAGAAGCCATGATGTGAGAATTATTTTATACTTTTTACATATTTGAAGTTAATTTGATTTTTAACTAGCGATCCGCCTCAACTTTGCACGAATGATTTCTTCCTTTCAAAAACAGCGCCACCGACCGGGACCAATTGAGTTTTAAACCCTCCAAGGACCTACTCAAACACACACAAAAAACTCATCAAAAGTGGAGCTATTTGTGTGGAGCCAGTCTCGCAAAAATGATATGCAATGCATGATATGCAAATAATTTTTATACGCAAAGAATAAAAGTAATTTTTTTTAATTTTATCATTAATTCAAGTCCGTCAATAAATTGACCACGCGGCGTCTTTCCCTCTTTCCTCCTGACACTGACCTAAAACGCAATGTCGACTACAGCGCTTACAAAATTAACATTTCTATATTTACAATAATTTTCGTGTAATGACGCTTCGAGCCACTCCGCTTCACACGTGTTAACGATACACCGGCTACTAGGCGCCTGTCTAATTAATCGAACATGAAGATATGAAATGAAACCTTTGTTATAAACTAGGCAAATCTAAAAAAACTGCCCGTGCCGAAAATAAAACAAATCGTCGTGAGCGCAGACACGGTATCAAAGTCCCGGAATACATCGCGCACTCCCAGAAAATATTCTGTAAATTCGTTGGAACGCGCCCACCTTCTAACAGATCGTAGGTAAGAATTTCAGCATCGTAAACAATGAATGCCACTTACGTGAAGATTCTTTGATCGTGTCGAACGTGAACAGTGCTTTGTTTGTGTGTTGTTTTGATTGTGGTAGTGGTGAATTGAACGACAAGGCGATATTAATGTTCGCGGGCGGTGGTGCCGGTTTTCAAAAGCAGTCTAAACCGCCCTGGGACAACGCGAATTCTAACACTGAGGTGACATCGAGTTGGTAAGTAATATTTAAGTTAATTAAAAAAGTATAAAATATATAAATTCTTAACTAAAATTTTCAAAATTAAATTACTTCAGTTTTTCCATTGCAACAATTTTATTTATTTTAACTATCTTTAAAATATTATAATAATCAAACAAATTAAATTAAATTACGTTTTCTTTTTATTGCAACAATTTTATTTCTTTGATTAGGTTATTTTTTTTTTGTTTTCAATAGTATTTCGAATATTATATTAAAAAAATTAATAAAATCCGTAAATTGTCCATTGCAGCAATTTTATTTATTTTAACTAGGTATGTTTAAAATATTATAATAAACAAACAAGTTAAATTAAATCTCGTCATATTCTTTACTGCGAAATTGATATATTTATTATGAAAATTTATATATACCGAACAGTCACATTTTTAATTTGACATTCGTTACTTTTCGAAAATACTGTTAAATTTCCATGTCTCAAAATTAATAAATTAGTATTTTTTATCTTCTCCTTTATTCATTACTCCTCTAACGAATTCGTAAATTATCAAAAATATTATATTATTGTAGATAAATATATAACCTTTACAAAAAACAACAAATAGCACGCCAAGTTATTAAAGGAAATCTATTCCGTCAACGTTACAATGCATATATTGATAGAAGATACAATTCATAACCGCTATTCCATTACACGCCTCTATCTGTCCTATGTACACAGAGGATTAGGGCCGGAAATTACGAACGCATAGCAACATTGTTGACATTGAACACAAATCGCCTATGCATGGTCGCAGGAATTTACTGACCTTAAGGGACAGTTATCGTTACAGCCTATCGAGCCCACTGTTGTACATAGGCCTCCTCACAGATTGGATAGTGGGATATTTGCTATAGTTGCCACGCCTAGCAAGCGGGTTGTCATCCGCAGTTTTTATTTTATTTCTGATCGTTGTTAGAAAGACGCTCCTGTATATCTCCTGATTTGTTTTCATTAATTACCGTGTAGTAGCCATGTAAGAATATCTACTACCCAATATCATCCCATGGATGTAGTAAGAGGTGTCAGAGAGAAACAAATCAGGATATTAAGTAAGGCTTACAAATTCAATTATTTATTTAATTTTCAATATTTTTATTCAAAATTTTTCCTTTCCATCTATTTCGTGAGTGTGAGAGATTTGTAACCAACTACATAGTAGAAATTAATTTTATAAGCATACATAATTATTGTTCTATCTTTAAAAAAATGGAAACTCTCGATAGCTCTAAAACCTTAGTAGTTTTTAAATGCTTTCATTTTGTGTATATACATTTTAAATTAAAAATATCAAAGCGTCGGTGGGTCTAACATCTTTGTTGTCGATACTCTATGTATTAGAACCGAACGGTTTAATTTGTCTTTCTTAATGCTTACTGCAAAGGGTTAGAATATTTTGCCATAGGCTCGGGAAGCATATCCACAATTTAAAAGGAAAAGTGTTTTTAATTTAGTTGTTCGAAAAACAGCGATTTGAATATCAACTTGAATATATAGACAAAATATGTTACAATGTTAATTTTATAGTAGATACATTCATTAGTTATGTTTTAAATTAATGCACTGACATATAAATAAATAAAAAAATATTACATCATATAAATTGCGTTTGATTCCGTAGTTTCGCAATACATAATTTTCATTATTTAAGAATATTAAATGCGTTTTGAGTAAATGTTGTTTTATTATTAACAAATGTAATTCCTAAAATAATTATTGACTCAAACCTCCGCGCTTCTGAAAGCACATAAAACCCTTGGATTTGCGCCTTTGCTCTCTCCGGTCGTGTCGGATTGTGAGAGTAATCGAATAGAGAGTGCACCTGTGCTTATGCAAATACTTGTGCACTGTAATCCTGTCCTGCGCAAACAACTAGTCTACGTTGAAATTAACCGCCGGGAATTCTGTAGGATATTATTATTTTTAACGAAAACTATGAAATTATTTATGCATTTAGTAATTACATTTCTTTAAAAAATTACAGCTCATAAAGACTATTTTCAACTAACGTGAGTGTACTAAACAGTAAACAATTAACCTTTAATTCAATAAAATGATTTATAAACAAAAATTTGGGTTACTTTTGCTTTTATTTTATTTTATATATGCAGGGATTTATTACAATTTTATGTAAGTGTTTCCACGTTAGAGCTATCTTAAAGGTCACATGATTCTAATAGAACACAGTTCCTAATAGTCCACTTATGCAAATAGATTTCACAGCTTCTCCAAAGAGATACGGTTTCTAAAGTCATTTATTTCTGAAAATAATTAAAACATTCACTTACATAAGAAACTTATTTGCACTGATATAAATTTTATACATTTTACCCAGTGATCGTAAAACGTACTACCGTATTATAATGTATATCATATATTAATTATTATAATACCATATATATCACCCATAAAAATTCCAACATTTTTATAGGTATATTCTGATATAAAAAGGTGTTTTTTTTAAACATAAATCATGTTTAATGAGATTTTTTCAATATTTGATATTAATTAATTATTCATGTTAAAATAAAATTTTATTAAATAAATTTATTTTAAATAAACACATTAATAGCTTATAAGGTCCGAGTTAAGGCTTGGTGTGCAGATACTGTAACATATAAAATATTTTATTAAATTATTAAATTCAGTTCTACTTTACATTTAAAGTTTAATTGCTTAACCCCTATGAGTAGTCTAAAGAATATACTCATACAAGTTCAAATTAATGACTAGAATAAGTATCGTTTCAATAGGTACATAAAAGTATGAATTTCCTATTTTTCCACGTTTATGGATAGAGCGTGTTAGAGTGATAAGCATTTGCATAATTCAACTGTTTTGGTGAAACCACGTTCTCGTAACAACTTTCATCAGTGTGTGATTGTGACATGCACGAATTATGGTTTGATAGCTATTGTTGCGAATATTAATTAATTTTGTAAGTAAGAGAGCAAATTAAACATCCGCTCTTAAACTAATATTATTATTTTAACCTCCCAATGAAATTTTGCCACATTCATTCAAACTACTTTAAAAATAATTTCTGTATATTGTAATTTATGTCTACAAGTTTAATGACCACGATCGTTATTCATTATAATTTTTTAAATAACAATTTTGTTAATAATGAAATAAAAACGAAGTTGGTCTACGAACGAGTAGGCAACAAACCTTAAAAAAAAGAAAAGGATTGTTTTCAAAATCCCTTAGAATTCATTTACTACATAAATTAGGCATACGACGTTCTCTGAACTTGACTATTTTTAAACACGCAAACACAAGCATGTTGTAACATAACGACGCTAGCCGTATCAACGAGGACACTTCACAAGCAGAATCTCTTTCTGGGTCAACGGTACATCCTGAAATGTAGTTTTGAATAAACGCATCCAAATAAGTATACATTTCATACATTCATAATTGTAGTGGATTACATTACTTAAAAGCGATTACTAGATTATTTCATACACCATATTTTTACGATTTATTTATTTCACATGTTTAATTAAATACGATAGAATATTATTTCATATCGAGCACACCTAACAACATGTTTTATTTAAATTTATTTGTTAATAGTTGATTTAAACGGTAATTAAGAATATAAGTTTCGAAGACGTGCAGTTTGCTCATTTGTACTAGAGCAATGCGATACTTACTCCATGTCTAATGGCTACTAGTCTCTGACTATGTAGTAAAGATCAAAGAAACTGTTATTGAGATAACAATTTCCCCGGCTTTTTACTAAAACTGGAAAGGAGATCTAAAATTGAGCATTTAATGTACTGTTCTTGGGGTTTGACTATTTGTAGCTGAACCATTATTATTTCTACTCTTGAAATAGACAATAAGTTTTACTATTAGATCTTGATTTGTATTCTAAGTAATTTAGATATGAAAATAAGTCGGAAGCACCTTATTCCGTTCCGAAAATCCTTATTCCGATGTATTTGGTTCCTAATTCCGAGTATACAAAATGCAAAGGATAAAGGTAGGAAGAATTATAATACATGGTGCTCATTATCCGACAACCAAAATTATGATAATTTTAAAACATGACTAATCATTCCCGTGGGTAAAGACCTGACAAGTTAATTTTATTTTTAATAATGCAATTCATTAATTTTGATATTTTCTTTCACGAAACCCGGAGTGAGAGCATATTTTGCAGATGTATTATCATTATCATTGCACTATCATACCTACTTATATTACCTACGATTAACGATTATGACGAATCATTTTCAAATGCATACATATTGCACCAGATTTTTGATCATAGAACTACGCAAAAGTTATATTATCACTTTAATAAGAGATCTTACAGTAAAAAGAAGCTTGTAAATGGCTCTTAAACGCATTTTTTCTAGATACCTCGGAATATGATGTCAACCGCTCGGAATTAGGTGCCTTACCTTACCTTAGGGTTTTCATTTATTATTTTGTAATTTATTTATGTTTTTACCTGCGAAGACTTACTTTATCGCACTTGTACATCTAATGCTTTCTCATAAGACTGAACTAACAATTCTTGCTGAGTCAAGAGTTAAGGTTAGGATTTTCTGCATATTGCGTTATTTCTAGATCAAGTAGATCAGAGAAAGATAACAAAGTTATGAATAAGTTTAATTTGGCATATGAAGGGCCTTATATAATAGCAGCCGTACCATTTGAGAATGTTTAGCAAACCCAGACACAAATGAAATTAGAATAAATTCAAATTTTTCAATGATATTCACTTACTCACACTATATATATTATATATATATATTATATATATATATATATATATATATATATATTAGTGCCATATAAATATCGGGAATTGGGTCAGGTTGAATGGCTCAATCACATTTATCCGGTGTGTAACTAGCCAGATCTCAGCTTCAATTCAAAATAACTGTATCCATATATAAGGCGACATTGCTGAATTAATGTTTCAATTACTTGAAAATAGATTTAAAACTTGAAGCCAACGA